GGCAGAGCCAGGCGGATCTCTGTGAGTTCGAGGCCAGCCTGGTCTACAGAGCGAGATCCAGGAAAGGCGCAAAGCTACACAGAGAAACCCTGTCTCGGAAAAAAAAAAAAAAAAAAGGTGGGCCTGGATAAGGTGAAGGCAGCCCAGCAACAGCCCAGACTTCAGAAGTTTTTTTTTTTTTTTTTGGGGGGGGGGGCTCCCTGCTAGCTGGGGGAGGCCAGGAAAAGGTAACATACTCTCAAGGTCTTCACTAGTGAGGCCCAGCACGCACTACCCTACCAAGTCTCCCTCCTCCAGCCTCAGCCCCACTTTATGTCTCCCCAGCTAGCTGTCATTTCTGGGGTCTGACTTTCTCTACTGCTTTGGTCCAGGCCAAGCCACTGCAGTTTCCCGGGGGGTGTGTGTGTGGGGGTGGCTGTTGCAGCCTCCTCACTGGCTACCCTGTCTACTCTGGTCTCTTGCTTTCATCCCCTTTAGAACATCTGACGGGTGTCACTATAGGAAGCTTGGAGCTTCCATTCTTCCCACACGCTTCTGTGACTTTGCCCAGAAGGACTTCTACCTATCTTTCTCAATGGTCAACTGCAGCACCACTGTTCCTGGCCCAGGCTCTGTGTTTTCTGCCTCTATCCTGTATGTGGGCTGGTCTGGCCTTCCCAAATCCAATGCCCCTCCTCCCAGCCTCTAAGTCCACTCCCTGGAAGTCTGCCCACCAGGATAAAACCAGCCTCCCATGCTCTGCACCCAGTTAACCCATCAACAGAGATGCTATCAGCACTGAGGCTTCTCTTTGCTAACACTTGATAATCCAATCCTCAGAGATGGGCGTAAACTATTTATCTGGAAACTATACACTCCGGATAAAGGCAGAGCCTGTCCCTATCCTAACACTAAACAGTTCCCCACAGCCTGGGGAACCGAGTGAGCACGGGACTCGGAGCCCCTTGTATCACCCCGAACGCCCCTCCTAAACTCCCGGCTCTCTTTCCCGGTTCCTCGGGCAGTGAACCCATCTCCCTTCGCGGTCGGCGCCTCCGCCCAGGACTTACTTGGCTTTGAAGCGGCTCACTCCGGCCACAGTCTCAGCCATGTCCGAGCGCAGTCGATTCCTCCAGGCTCAGCAGCCCTTAGCCGCGTGAGACAGACAACGCGCTACTCCGTACTTCAAGGCACGTAGTGATGACATCACGAGCTGCAACTACTTTGACGCCATCGGCACGCGCCCTGGGAGCCATCTTTACTGTGGGTACTGGCTACTGCGACCAGGAGTGGAAGCTGAAGGTGTTCCCAGCGTGCAGGCTGGCGGTGGCTGCCTTGCTGAACGTCTTGCATTTTTTGACTACCTATTTACTATTTATTTATTATTTGTTCTAATTTGTCTTGTTTTCTACTCCTTTTTTTTTTTTGAGACAGTATCTCTGCAGCCTTGGCTGTCCTGGAATTCGCTCTGTAGTCCAGGCTGGCCTCGAACTCAGACATTCTACTGCTTCTGCCTCCCCAGTGCTGGGAATTAAAGACGTGGTCCACCAATGCCTGGCTGTCTCATTTGCTTTTCATTAAAAAAATTAATTTAAAGCCGGGCCGTGGTGGTGCACGCCTTTAATCCCAGCACTCGGGAGGCAGAGCCAGGCAGATCTTTGTGAGTTCGAGGTCAGCCTGGGCTACCAAGTAAGTTCCAGGTCTCGAAAAACCAAAAAAAATAAATAAATAAATAAAATAAAATAAATTAATTTAAGCGGGGCGGTGGTGGCACACGCCTTTACCCCCAGCACTCGAGGCCAGCCCGGTCTACAGAGTGAAATCCAGGACAAGCACCAAAACTACACAGAGAAACTCTGTCTTGAAAACAAAACAAAAAAAATTAATTTAATTTAAACCATGTGGTGGTGGTGGCTGATGCCTTTAATCCCAGTCTCCTTGCACTTGCACTCGGGAGGCAGAGCCAGGAGGATCTCTGTGAGTTTGAGGCCAGCCTGGTCTACAGAACAAGATCCTGGACACGAACCAAAACTACAGAGAGGAACCCTGTATCGAAAAAATTTTTTTAGCTTATTAAGGAAGATTCTGGTTATGTATTGTTAGTTTTAGGCTGGTCTGGAACTGTGTTATACTCAAGGTTGGCTTCAGGCTCAAGATCTGTTTCAGCCTCTTGAACACCCTCCATTTATCATTTAGTTTGTGTGTGTGTACTACAAGACCACCCCCTCGCCATAGCATGTGTGGAGACAGAGAACATGGAAGTAGGCTTTTTTCCTTCCACTGCGTAGGTTCCAGGGATGAAACTCAGGTTATCAGACTTGGCAGCGGGTTCTCAGAGAGCCATCTCTCTGGCCCAGGCCTTTTCTAGATAGGGTTTCTCTGTGTGGCTCTGGCTGTCCCAAAACTTGCTCAGGCTGGCCTTGAACTCACAGAGATCTGTCTGCCTCTGCCTCTGGAGTGCTGTGATTAAAGGTGTGCGCCACCACTGCCCATTTCAGGAAATTCATAGGGCTGAATGCACACATAAAGAAGTTGGAGGCATTTTATCTTAATGTGAATTTTAAAAATGCTTTTGGCCTGGGCATGGTTGTAAAAGCCTTTAACCCCAGCACCCAGGAAGCAGAAGCAAGATGTCTGTGAATTCAAGGCCAGCCTGGTCTACAGAGGGAGTTCCAGGACAGCCAGAGTTGTTATACAGAGAAACCTTGTCTCAAAAAAACAAAACAAAACAATTCACAAAGCCTTTGTTTTAAACTGCCAGGGGTTTATCTTAGGTCAGGAGGGCGAGGAAGAAGCCAGCCATCTTGGAAGTTCACCATCTTGGTTGATGATGGCTATTCTTGGTTCTCAACTTGACTACATCTGGAATTAACTAAAACCCATGGCTAGGAACACCTGTGAGGGACTTTTTCTCTTCTTTCTTCCTTTTTCTTTTCTTTTCTTTCTTTCTTTCTTTCTTTTCCTTTTTTAATTTTTATTTTAGTTTTTCAAGACAGGGCTTCTTTGTGTATCAGCTCTGGGTGTCCTGAGGAACTTCTTAATTAAATCATTTGAACTGGGAATACCCACTTTTAATCTGGATCTTTTGAGATGGGAAGATCCACTTTTCATCTGGACTACATCTTTTGGCAGCCTATAAAGGACATGGAAGAAGGAGGCTTGCTTTCTGCCTGCTTGCTGGCCAGTCTTTTCCTTGGCTGGCCTACTTCTTTGGGGTTCTGGTGTATACTGAAGACTAGCTGAGACATCCAGCCTCATGAACTGAACAACTACTGGGTTATTGGACCTTTCATTGGTAGACAGCCATTGTTGGATTAGCTGAACCACAGCCTTGTAAGCCATTCCCTCTCTCTCTCTCTCTCTCTCTCTCTCTCTCTCTCTCTCTCTCTCTCCTAATCCCTCACAGAAATGAAAATATTCTAATGTGTGATACCTGGAGACACGGCTCAGCAGTTTAGAACACTTGTTTTTGAAGAGGAACTGGATTTCATTTCCAACAATCACATGGTGACCCACAAACATCCATAACTCCACTTCCAGGGTAGCCATTGCTCTCCTCTGACTTCTTAGGGCACCAGGAATGCACATGGTGCACATATAAACAGGCAAGGTAAAACATTCATACACTCCAAGGTGGTGGAGCACACCTTTAATCTCAGCACTCAGGAGGCAGAGGCAGGAGGATCTCTGAGTTTGAGGCCAGTCTGGTCTACATAGTAAGTTCCAGGATAGCCAGGGCTACCCAGAGAAATCTTGTCTCAAAACAAAACAGCAAAAACATTCATACACATGAAATAAATCTAAAGAGATACTTGTGGCCAGGCATGGTAGTACATGCTTTAATCCCAGCACTTGGAAGAGGGAAGAGGATCCTTGTGAGTTTGAGACCAGTCTGGTCTACATAATGTTTTAGGACAATGGGAACTACATAGAGATCCTGCCTCCACAGGGTAGCTTGTCTTCTGGAAAGAGATTTCAGATTCTGAAAACTTGTCAAATCACTTTACAGGATGCTACTGAATCTCACATAATGATGGGTCAATCATTGGAGGGACCACCCCCCCCCCCCCCCCCCGCTCCTGTATCTATGTCTGTGGAAGCCAGAAGAAAGCATAACGTCCCCTAGAAGAACTAGGATGTTACAGATGTTATTAGCAGCCATGTGGGTGCTGGGAATTAAACCTGGGAATAAAATCCAGGTCCTCTAGATCAGCCAGTGTTTTTTTTGTTTGTTTGTTTGTTTTTTTTTTTGTTTTTTTTTTTTGTTTTTGAGACAGGATTTCTCTGTATTGATAGGCTGGCCTCAAACTGGGAGATCAGCCTGCCTCTGCCTCCTGAGTGCTGGGATTAAAAAAAATGTGCGCCATCACTGAATGACACAGCTCCCCCCCCCTTTTAAGATTTATTTAGGCCAGGCGGTGGTGGCAAATGCCTTTAATCCCCGTACTCAGGAGGCAGAGCCAGGCAGATCTCTGTGAGTTCGAGGCCAGCCTGGTCTACAGAGCTAGGTATCAAAACAACACAGAAAAACTCTGTCTGGAAAAAAACAAAACAAAACAAAAGATTTATTTATCATGTATACAGTTTTCTGCTTGTATGCACCCCTGCAGGCCAGAAGAGGGCACCAGATCTCATTACAGATGGTAGTGAGCCACGATATGGTTGCTGGGACCTGAACTCAGGACCTCTGGAAGAGCAGCCAGTGCTTTTAACCTCTCAGACATCTCTTCTACTCTTAAAGTTTTGAGTCATTTGTGTCACCAGCTAGGAAGCGATTAGGCTGATAGAAAAGCCATGGGAAGAAAAATGGGTTAATGAATAAGCTAACGGCTTTGCAGAATCTACTCAGTGGTAGATCCAGTCAGAGAAAAGAAACTTCAGAGTCTGGGAGAACAATCTAGGGAAGAGAAAGGCCAGTGTCTGATGTGGAAGGTCAGCAGGGGTGACAAGGACGACAGAGCACACAGCATGCACAGGACGTGAGGTGGGTCAGGTCTGGGCTCAGCGTTTATTTAACTCCTTTATAAGACACCTTGGCCCTGCACACCCCACATCTCAGCCTCCGGGGCAACCTCAGTCTCCTGAGCCCTGGAGCTCAGAAGCAGGGAGTCATCCTCCAGGAAGTCGCCCAGCTGTGCCAGCTGCCGGCGGATGAAGTTGGTGGTGCGGTGCACCAGGCGCACACGCCCCAGCAGGCTCAGCAGCAGGGTCCGGTTGCGCTCGTGGCGCTGGACCCAAGCATCACGTAGCTCACGGTAGCAGTTGTGTTGCTCACCCTCCGCGGCAGCCAGAGTGGCCCCACAGCCTAAGGGGCAGCGCTGCTGGCCACCCTGCTGGCCACCCTGATGGCAGTGCTGGCGGTGCTCATCGAGGACCCCACGCAGAACCTGCGCGGTGCAGCCCTCATTGGGGCAGGCCATCAGCTCGAAGGGGCAGGAGTTTTGGTGCCCCTTGCGATGAGCCAGAGGGCATGTCACCAAGCAGCCAGCTTCAGCATTCTTGCACTAGGGAGGATAAGAAAGCTCAGTGTGAATTAAACTGGGTTAGGCGTTGCCACCTGGGGCTCCTAAATAACCTCTAAGCTGTGATATCCCCTGACTATGAAACAAGTGAACTCTGGAGCCTCCTAAGGTTTTTATTGGTTTGTAGAGACAGTTTCTCTGTAATAACCCTGGCTGTCCTGGAACTTGCTCTGTAGACCAGGCTGGGCTCCTCAGACTCAGAGATCAGCCTGCTTCTGTCTCCCCAGTGCTGGGATTAAAGGCGTGCACCACTACACCTCACTGCTTGCTAAGTTTTTGTGATTCCATTTTGTAAAGCTAGAGGGCTGAAGAGTAATAATGGCTAGTGCACCAGGCACCTCATCCCTGGAATTTTTTATACTCCTCACATTACACCTGAAGGTCCAAGGAATCCAGGAAGGATAAGCAGCTGTCTAGTGGCACAGCAAATGGTAGACCCATGATTCATACTCTTTAACCGTGTCTATGACCTGTGGCCTATCCTTGGCCCTAACAAAAGGCTTCTTTTTGCTCCCTCTTCTGACCCTGCCCCACCCCCCGCCGGGAGGACGGGAGTGGATGTTCTGAGCTACCTTGACTTGCAGGCGGCCAATGGTTTTCCGGAGTTTGTTCACTTGGACCATCTTTCTCCTTTTCACCTCTTTTCTACAGCATGGACAGGTGTTTTGTCTAGAAAGAGGTATCAGTGTGATGTTGGAAGTGGAAGAGGGAAGGTGGGAGGCATATGCCTGCCAGAGCAAGCCTTCATGGGGTAACCCAGCTAGTCTCTCCTTTCTGGCTGGAGGGGGCATGAAGGGGGCCCTACAGGATTTGGCTCCCAAGCTGAGGCTAGGGACTTCAGACTACAGAGAGTGAGGCACACTTTATCTTAGTGTCCCAGATTTTGCGGCTGAGTCTTCTAGCCATCGGAACCCAGTTTTTGGAAGACCTTCCCACTCTCAGCGGCAGGAGTCGCCTCCCAGCCTCCCACCCCCCTGAATTCCCAATGGCACCTGGCTAGCCACTGGAGGATGCACTTTTTGCAGAAGATGTGACTGCATGGCAGCCTCATTGGCCTCTTGAGAACCCCATGGCAGACGGAACACAGGAAGTTGCAGTCAGGAGGGCTGGCAAAGAGGTTGAGATCGTACCCACCACTCTGCAAAGGCCAGGTCAGTGTTAAGGCCTGGGTGGGACCAGGCTCCAAGCCCCTGCCCCGAAGCACTCTTACTAGCAAGATACTGCAGCCATCTTTTGGTAGGGAGGCAGGCTACATTTAAAGTCAATATAGCCTGCAGGGACCAGCCCCCACTTCAAGGGTGAATCTGTGGGGGTTGATTCCCTCAAGATTTGCCAATATTTGACTGAAGAAGCTGGAATGGCTCCAGGTTATACCACCTAGAGCCTTCTGAAAGATTTTCTTGTCCCATAAAGGAACTGTCATCCATTCTCAGAGTGAGATAGCATTGATTCCTAGGCAGCTAGGCAGCTGTCTAGGAATTGAGCACTTATCTCAGAGCTGGTGGAAAGAGGCCAGGGGCTCACCATGATCTGTGTCTGGACGGCAGCTCCACTGAGGCTAAGGACTCAGGAGCCTCCATTTCACAGTGCATGTGGCCCGACATCACAGTGGCATTGTCTAGCTTGGGCCAATCACAGCTCTGGCCCAGGGCCCATTGGGACCTTGTAGCCACCTACCCTTTGCCTTTCCCTCTGAAGGTGAGTGGTACAGTAGCCTCATCTCAGGAGTAATCTTTGGATTCTCTCCCTTGCCTTGGTTGTGGCTGACTTCTAGGGGCTGGTTCCCCAATGCCAGCAGGTTCACAGGGATTGCAGCTCCTCCACTGACTGGGTGGTCAGTTTAGATGTTGGCCTTCTCCACTAACATCCCTTCACCAAGGACTAAGCCCAATAGCAGGAGGCTCATCCTGTGAAAGAGCCCAGAGGTTTTTCAATTTAACTGTAAGAAAGGCCCTGGGAGCCTGGCAGTGGTGGTACAGGCCTTTAACCCCAGCACTTGGGAGGCAGAGGCAGGTGGATCTCTGTGAGTTCGAGGCCAGCTTGGCCTACAGAGTTCCAGGATGGCCCAGGCTGTTATACAGACTGTCTTGAAAAACAAAACAAAAGCCTTGGGGAGGTAACACTTTTAGTATGCATGTTGTGTAGTTTTGTTTTATGATGCAGTTTCCATGTCATAACCTTAGATGGGGTAGGACTTTGCTGTTTTGGGGCCACACACACTCAGTAAGCTGAATAAATACTGATTTATGAAGCTTAACTTCAGTGGACTCATACTTTGGTGATTACTGGTGCCCTATTTGGGGTGAATAGATGTCTCTCATCAAAAAAGACCAACACATCCCTTCAAGTTCACTTTTTGCCTAGGTGGTCATCTCTTAAGAAAATTTTAACTATGTATAGGTATGATTTGTCTGCACATTGGCCTGTGCATGTGAGTGCAGGTGCCATTGGAGGCCAGAGTTATGAGCTGGAGTTAGTCCTCTGCAAGAGCAGCAAGTACTCCAGCTGAGTCATCTCTCATCTATTTTTTTTAAAATTATTTTTATTTTATGTGTACTGGTATTTTGTCTGCATGTATATGTGTGTGAGGGTGTCAGATCTCAGAGTTACAGTTGTGAGCTGCCATGTGGGTGCTGGGAATTGAACTCAGGTCCTTTGGAAGAACAGCCAGTTCTCTTAAGCACTGAACCATCTCTCCAGCCCCTGTCATCTCTCATCTATTAAAGAGACAGGGCCTCCTACTGTCACCTCGGCTGGCCTGGAACTCTTTGTGTAGAGCAGGCCTGCCTCTGCCTCTCCAGCACAGGCAACCACAGCCAGGCTCCATTCATTTTAAAGATCCCGAACACTGAAGCTATTGTCGCATCCTTGTTAGTGATCACTTGATCAGGACACTTTACCTGCTTGTGTGCAAATTACATCTGGAGCATGTGTACAGGACAAGATCTAGCCCAGCTGAAACTTGTCACATACAAACTTGTGTTTGAGTTCTGCTTGTGTAGTGTCTAAATCAGTAGGAAGCTCAGGTGTAATTCCAGCATTTGGAAGGCTGAAGCGGAATTGTTAAAACTCCATGCCCTCATTGAATACACAGCAGGACCCGGTCTCAAAAGAAAAAAAAAAGGGGGCGGGGGTTGAGGATTTAGGTCTGTGGTAGAGCGCTTGGCTAGCAAGCCCAAGGCCCTGGGTTCGGTCCTCAGCTCCGGGTGGGGGGTGAAGGGCTAGAGATGTCTCAAAACCGTTGTTCTTTCAGAGGACCTGGTGTTTGGTTCCTATCAGACACATGGAGGCTCTCAACTATACCAAACTCCAGTTCCAGGGGATCTGACGTCTTATGGCCATGGGCATCAGGCACGCACATGGTGCATATACATACACGCGGCGAAATAAAACACATTTAACACACCCAACTACGACTCCATTTTCCACCCAGACTAACAGGTACCCTCCAAAACATACATACACGGTAAGTTAAGTTAAACCATTTTATTTGAGAAAAGTGGACACGCGAACCCTGCCATTTTCGTGGACGAAGCGGCGGCCGCCTCCAGATCCAGTGGAACCTGTGGAGAAATGACACTGTTAGGATCGATGTCACAAGCCGGGACGTGAGAGCGGCGAGGCGATCCGGAGTGTCGGGGCCTGGGTTTCACCCTCCCACACTGGGGCAGCGGGCGGTGAGCTTAGGCCTCTGTGGCTCTGGGCGCCGAATCTCACCTCCGGCCACAGTCAAAGCCGAAGATGATTTTCAGCGAACGCCCATTTACCGGGCCAACAGCGAACACAGCATGAGACCGAGGAGGCGCAACCTACCTGGGCCAGAGAGCAGCACCACGCACTCACGATCTCTAGCAGGCCTGAAAGGCGCCGGTCAGAGCTTTTATAGTCCCTTCCAGGCGGCGTAGGTTTCGGCTTCGGCGAGAGAATATGCGCAGGCGCAGGAAGAACGTGGCGGGGGCGGGACAACACGCAGCCAATTACAGCCTGCGGGCGAGCTGCACGAGCAGTCGAGCTATCGCGGCGCTTTGGTGCACTATAAAAACCCCCTTCCGCGCAGTCTCGCTCTTCTTCTTCTTCGGGAAAACACGTGAGTTTGTGTTACTGGATTCTGGCTTTGGGGCCTGGGCCGTGGAGGGCCGTGGACATCCGCACGGGGACACCCTTGGGTGGGGGGTCCCGTATCGGAACCCCAAGTGACCGCAGAGCATAGGACTCTGCTGATTTGCTTCCTTTTGTCTCTGTAGCAAATGGCGGACGACGCCGGTGCAGCGGGAGGGCCCGGAGGACCCGGGGGCCCGGGACTAGGAGGCCGCGGCGGCTTCCGCGGAGGATTCGGCAGCGGCCTTAGGGGCCGCGGTCGTGGTCGAGGCCGTGGCCGTGGTCGAGGCCGCGGGGCTCGTGGAGGTAAAGCTGAAGACAAGGAGGTAGGTCTGGGCCGCGGGCGGGGTCGGCGCCCGCTCTGAGTGAAGCCGCCTTTTGACTGATGTCTTCCTGCAGTGGATCCCCGTCACCAAGCTGGGCCGCCTGGTTAAGGACATGAAGATCAAGTCCCTGGAGGAGATCTACCTGTTCTCCCTTCCCATTAAGGTACAGACACCTCGGTGCTGGAACATCGTTTGGGTGGGAAGGTTGCTCTCTAGATGGCCACTTGTGGTTGCTGCCACATCCGTTATCGGGATGAAGTGAGGACGACTTGCAGTAGTCTCCTTTTCTGTCTAATGACAGGAAGCTCTGAACAGGTTTCTCACAATTTCCTGTTTTAGGAATCCGAGATCATTGACTTTTTCCTGGGCGCTTCCCTAAAGGATGAGGTTCTAAAGATCATGCCAGTGCAGAAGCAGACTCGGGCTGGCCAGCGGACCAGGTTCAAGGTATTAAGTCTATTCTTTAGCAAGGTGGAAATGCTTAAACAGGGTGACTGAGCAAAACTCTCTCACTCTGCATAGTTACACTAGGTTTTACCCGTGTGACTTTCGTACCGGGAGAGAGAGAAAAAGAGTTCCTCAAGTACTTTTGATTGGCCTCACAGTGGCCTCTCTTGCCTGGAGGAGCACCACAGGTCCTGGTTGGGATATGCGGGTTCTGTGAGGTACTGCCAGCCATTTCACCTAAGTATTTTCACAGGCTTTTGTCGCTATTGGGGACTACAATGGTCATGTTGGTCTTGGTGTTAAGTGCTCCAAGGAAGTAGCCACTGCCATCCGAGGGGCCATCATCTTGGCCAAGCTGTCCATTGTCCCTGTGCGGAGAGGCTACTGGGGGAACAAGATTGGCAAGCCCCACACTGTGCCGTGCAAAGTGACAGGCCGCTGTGGCTCTGTGTTGGTGCGTCTCATCCCTGCCCCCAGAGGCACTGGCATCGTCTCTGCTCCTGTGCCTAAGAAGTTACTGATGATGGCCGGTATTGATGACTGCTACACGTCAGCCAGGGGCTGCACTGCCACCCTGGGCAACTTTGGTAGGTAGCTCACACAGTTAGTTGCTGGGGCCTCTCAGCTCTGCTGGATCACACCAGCCCAGGGAGAGGTGGCCTTCTCTGTTCCTAGGAGTGCAACAGATCCATAGTGGGAGGGACTTTATCAACAAAAATTAAGCCACTATCCTTACCCTTCTGTTTTCCAGCCAAGGCCACCTTTGATGCCATCTCCAAGACCTACAGCTACCTGACCCCCGACCTCTGGAAAGAGACTGTGTTCACCAAATCTCCTTATCAGGTATGCTGATTGAGCTGGTGGTGTTGGCTGCTTTGGCTTTCTTAAGATTAGGGGATGTGTTGTATTAATGATTTTCCACTTCTCTTTTTAGGAATTCACTGACCATCTTGTGAAAACCCACACCAGAGTGTCTGTTCAGAGGACCCAGGCTCCAGCTGTGGCTACCACATAAGGGTTTTTATACAAGAAAAATAAAGTGAATTAAATCTGCTAATAATGTTTGTTTCTGTTTTTGTTTTGTTTTTTGGTGACCCATCTCCCTCATGCTTGGTGAAAGTTTTACTTGAAGAGGACAAAGATATGCATTTAATGGACACCAAAAAACAGGCAGGGTGCTCCCAGTCACTTTATTTCTGCAATGTAACGAGTTCTTGGAGTCTTAGGCAGCAGCCTTGGCGGCTTTTCTCTCTTCCAGCATCCTATGCTTCTGCTTTGCCAGGCACTTTCTGGCAGAACAATAGGCTCCCAGGTCATAATCTGTAGAAGAGATAGGGGGTAAAGCTTGTTACAGGCAGGGCATCTGGGCAAGGTTTTAGTGGCTGGGAAAGCAAGACTCCAAACACTCGTGATAGCTGAGGAAAACCAGAAGTCAGGGTTGGATTCAGGCTGGGTTACTCACAGCGGTCATGGAAGGCCTTAGCCACCTGGTTGAACTGCTCCAGTTCCTTGGCACAGTTCTGCTTTGAGCTCTCTCCTTCTCTCTGCTGACAAGCCTTAAGCCTCTCTTGGATGATGTTGACAATTTCCTGGTCAACTTTGCTGAAAGAATAGAGAGATAGTTCCTGCCTCAGCCCAGGGGTCTGGGTCCTTTCAAGGGGGGTGTGGACTGGATGACACCAGTCAACTGTTCCCTGCTGTGCACTCACTAGTCCCTTTTCCATTGCATCTCCGCCTCATAGATACACGGGACGTCACCCTCTTTGCATTCTGTGATGTCCGGCACACGTCGGTACTGCCGGTGATAGTAGTAGATTTTGTTCTTGGCATGCTGTCGCTCAATGAACTCTGCAAAGAGAACACCTCAAACTCAAGGCCTGTCAGCTTAGACACACTAGGGGGTCTAAAGTTCTATCAAGGACTGGCTACAGAGGTTAACAGGTATCACCTCCAGTTGCATGAGATCTCACCTCATGCCTCTAACCACCTTACAGGGTAGGTCCTTATTTAGAAGAGACATAACTCAGGGTTGAGAACACAGAGGGTTTGAGTAGGCAAGGAAACTCCAGGAATTCAAGACCCAATGTTTTCCACTGGTAAGTTAAAAGAGCACAGAGTTCACACATTCAGACATTCTAAGATGCTACCGAAATATGGAGCTGACCTTACTGCAGTAATGCACCTGGGGCTGGCTAGAAAACTTCCACCTTCCTAACCCAAGGACCACCTGTAAACCAGGGGCAGTGACTTGGCTGTAATCCAAGCTACTGGGAAGCTGACAAAGATATTTGCTATGTTGTCCTGGACAACAATGAAGATGCTGTCTCACAAAGATAATCCATAAACTATAATCAGATCCTCAACATTTGGAAGAGGGAAAAGCAAGAAACCACCTGAGCATGCTCTGCACCCCAAATGCTGGACAAATGGGCCGCCCAATCGACTGGACAAAGTGCCCAGCATGTTCCAGCTGTTGTTCACCAAGCTGGCAAACAGGACCACCAAAGGTTGAAGGGAGCATTCTCTGGAACCAGGGATAAAGAGAACAGCTATTTAAAACACCACTTTGCATGGGTGACACTGTGGCCCAAAGAGAACGAATAAGCACCCTGACCATGCAGATGGATAGCAAATTGTCCATTTCAACAAGGGCTTACTGATCGGCTACTTGTGCACACTTAGCAAAGCTCCCTGGTGATGGGCTAGATTTCCGACCACTACTGTTTTGTTTTGAAGACAGGGTTTTTCTGTGTAACCCTGGCCGTCCTGGACCAGGCTGCCTTCGAACTCAGAGTCACCTGCCTCCACTTCCCCAGTGCTGGGATTAAAGGCATGTGCCACCACCACCCGGCTTCCGGCTAACACCGTTTAAAAGAGCGACCGGGGTCGAGGGTTATGGGCAGGCTGTAGTCCTGGGAAAAGTGGGCTATTCCGCGGGGGCGAAGGGAGGTCTTGGGAAGTGGTCTGGGGTGCAGCGGGGAAACAAAAGGTGACGGCTCGGTCCCGGGGTCTCGGATACAGCAGAGGGTGTCCTCTGGGGAGGTTAACAGACCATTTGGAAAAGAAAGAAAGAAAACGACAAAGAAAAAACAGCCAATTTGGACTCGGGGGCTCTGGATGCGGGACAGCAACGTGCAGCGGGTGGTGGTTCCTGGGGACCGCTACTGGACGTGGGATCCGTGGGGTACCAGGATCTCCACGGAGCGGGCGCAATCCTAGACCCTGTACCTCTCACGAGGGTCACGGGCCGGTCCACGAAGAGGTCGAAGGCCTTCATAAAGTAGGTCAGGGGGTTGGGGAGCGAGGTTTGCGGCGAGGGAGCCGGCGTGCGGCGCGGGGGCTCGGGGTACACATCCTTGTCCCAAGAGTCCGGCATGGCTTCAGCAAGCGCTGGCCTCCGACCTCCAATTCGCTCCGCGTTAGGACCAGCTCGGCCTGCCGAGGACGCGGGGACCTCTACGCCTGCGCGGAAAGGCGGCACCGCGCCTGCGCAATAGGTAGTCGCGGGGCACCATGGGATCGTGGCTCGCCTCTCGGGCACCCCCTTGTGGTTCCCAGCGCTATTGCACAGTGGCGTCCTGGTTTAGTTGGATAGAGTTCACCAGACGCCGGGAAAGGTAGCAGGGAGCAAGGCGAACTCGGCTTGGTAAGAGAACACACACACAAATCAACGAATAATAGAAACATCAAACGCCCTCACTACTCCAGGAAGCCATTCTAGACTGCTCAGTCCTCTGGCCTATTCAGGGCTCTGCTGGTGGGTGCCCGTGAACATGGGGGCTTCTCTGAAGAGGCGGGGCTTGCCCCGTTGTAGTCCGTGAGAGGAAAAGGGTCTCTCACCCTAGGCACAGAGTGCTCTGCCCTGCTTCTGGGAGTTCTGTTCTAGTCCTGAGCTCTTGTGCCCTGAGTTGTTCACTGGCAGGACTGCACTGCCCGAACTCTGAGTTTATGCATTTAGAACTGGTTTTGCAGCCTGGGCAGTGGAACTCCTCACCTATCTGTCATCGTGGTGCTGGTCATCTCCTGCCAGTGTTGGGGACTAAGAACATAGAGCTATCAGGGGCAATGACTTACCAAATCTAGTATTACACAAAAATCAGTTTATGACATCGAGGTCAGACCCACAAATCTTAACATTTGGTAGCATAGAATCTTAGTATCTAGTGCAAAACCACTATCCCTGAGGGTCAAGCCTAGTGGACTCGGTGATTCTACAACTATAGAACCTTGCTTGATTCTGTAGCAACAGAATCTTGGGATTGAAAAATAACGCGGGGTGGTGGCGGCAGCGCGCGTCTTTAATCCCATCACTCTGGAGGCAGAGGCACCCGGATCTCCGAGTTCCAGGCTAGCCTGGTTTACAGAGTTCCAGGACAGCCAGGACTACACCGAGAAATGCTGTCTCAAACAAAACAAAACAAAACAAACAAACAAAAACCAAAACAAAACAAAAAAGAAAGAAAAAGAAGATAGTTGGCACAGTGGCACAAACCTGTAGTAGGAGCTACGCAAGGGGCTGAGTTGGGATGATTCGAATCCAGGAGTTCAAGACCAGTTCCAGATATGTAGGTTCACGCCTATAAGCCTGTCTGCCGTTTTGGTGGTGGAGGTAGAATTGCCCAGAATTCAAGGCCGGATATGCTATAATTTGAGACCTTTTCTGAAAAGAAAAAGAAGGGGCTGGAGAGATGGTTTAGCAGTTAAGAGGTCTTCCAGAGAATCTGGGTTTGATACCCACCACTCTGTTTGTAACCGGCTGTAATTCCAGTTCCAGAGGTTCTGGTGCCCTCTTCTGGCCTTCAAGGACACCAGGCACACAAATGATGCACAGATATACATGCAGGCAAAACACCCATACACATAAGATAAAATTTAATTAAAAACCAAAAAAAGGAGCTGGGCAGTGGTGGTGAATGCCTTTAATCTTAACACTCAGGAGGGAGAGGCAGGTAGATCTCTCAATTCGAGGCCAGCCTGATCTACAGAGCTAGTTCCAGGACAGCCAAGGCTACACAGAGAAACCCTGTCTCGAAAAAAAACAAAAAAGGGAAAAAGCCAGGAGGGGGTGGTACATGCCTTTAAGCTCAGCACTTGTGAGGCAGAAGCAGGCTGATCTCTGAGTTCAAGGCCAGCTTGGTCTACAGAATGAGGTCCAGGACAGCCAGGGCTGCACAGAGAAACCTGGTCTCTAAAAACCAAAAGGACTTATATAATTTGCTGGGCAGTGGTGGCAAATGCCTTTAATCCCAGCATTTGGAAGGCAGAGGCAACTGCATCTCTGAGTTTGAGGCCAGCCTGGTCTACAGAGCTAATTCCAGGACAGCCAAGGGCAGACAGAAAACCCTTGTCTCCAAAAACCAAAAACCAAAACAAAGCAAAAAAAAAAAAAAAAAAAGCAAAAGAAAGAAACAATAACAGAGCTAGCAGTGTAGCTCAGTTAACAGAGTGCTTGCCTAGCATGCACAAGGCCCTTGGTGCCTTAATCTCCAGCACAGCATAAACCAGTCATAGTAACACGCAGCTATAATCCCAACACTTGCACTGGAATGTGGAGGCAGGAGGATCAGAAACTCAAAGCCATCCTCAGCTATATACCAAGTTCCAGGCCATCCTGTGATACATAAGACCTTGTCGCAAACAAAGATGCAAAGAAACATGAAACCAAATTCAATCAAGTGGCTGTTCCGGCTAGTTTTTTTTTTGTCAACTTGACACAAGCCAGAGTCATCTGAGAGGAGGGAACCTCAACTGAGAAAACGCTTCCATCGTATAGGCCTGTAGGTAAGCCTGTAGGGCACTTTCTTGATTAATAACTGATGTGGGAGGGTCCAGCCCACTGTGTGTGGTCCCGGGTTCTATAAGAAAGCATGCTGAGCTCGAGAGGCAGAGCCAGGCAGATCTCTGTGAGTTCGAGGCCAGCCTGGTCTACAGAGTGAGATCCAGGACAGGCGCAAAGCTACACAGAGAAACCCTGTCTTGAAAAACCATAAACAAACAAACAAACAAACAAAAATAAATAAATAAATAAATAAATGATTTACTGCCAGAAGAAAGGGGAAAAAAAAGAAGAAGAAGAAAGCATGCTGAATCAGCCGTGAAGAGCAAGCCAGTGAGCAGCATTCGTTCAGGCCTCTACTTCAGTTTCTTTCTTTCTGTGTAGCCCTGGCTGTCTTTGAACTAGTTCTATAGACCAGGCTGGCCTCGAACTCGCAAAGATCTGCCTGCCTCTATCTCTCAAGAAGCTGGGATTAAAGGCATGCGTCCAGCTTCTACTTCAATTCCTGCCTTCAAATTTTTGACTTGAGTTCTGCCTCGCTTTCCCTCAATGATGGACCATGATCAGGTCTTGTAAGCCAAATAAATGCTTTCCTCCTCAAGTTGCTTTTAATTATGATGTCTTTAAGGTTTTTATTTTATTTTGTGTATGAGTGTTTTGCCTGAATGTATGTCTTGGCCCGAGGTCAGAAGAGGATGTCAGATCCCCAGGAACTGGAGTAACAGACAATTATGAGCCACCACGTGGGTGCTGGGAATTGAACTTGGGTCCTTTGGAAGAGCAGTCAGTGCTCTTAACTGCTGAGCCATCCCTCCAGCATGGTGTTTTTATTGCAGCGACAGAGAACTCTAGCTTACAGCTCTCAGGGCAGGAGACCTCTTTCCCAGACTCAGATTTTCTTTCTGGCTGTGGCCTGAGGACAGGACCCCTCCTCACGTCACAGTGGTCCTGTTCTTGAAGAGTCACTACCCAGTCCCCAGGACCATGGGAGATAAAATGCCATCCCTGGTCCCAGGTGTTCTTACCACGGCAGGCTGCCCATCCGATGCCCCTCCTAGGTTTGTTCCTGCCACCAGAGGCCATGCTGGCTACAGGAGCCAGCCAAGGAGCCTGCCAGGTGCTAAATCTGGGATCTGGCAGTTGAGTGTTCTGGCCCTGTCATTCGACCTCTGGTGCCTGGTGGGGAGGCCCCTTCCTGACTGCAGGGACCGGCCATGGTCAGTGGGCTGGGGCTACACCCTGAACAAACTGGCATTCCAGGGGAGGGGGAAGGGATAGTCCTGGAGCTGTGAGGAATGGGTCTGAAGAGATAGCAGAGGGCCAGGGCTATGCTTCTGGGCCTAGAAGGGGCGTGAGGAGGAGAGGTCACGGTAGCCACCTGCCCCGGACATACTCCCTTACTGTCTTGGACCCATCCAGGTCTTGCCAGGCCGAGTTCACAAGGGCAGGAAACCCGTGGTTGTAGAGACCCCATCCTTAGCCTCTACATCATCTGCTTTCTGTTCTTTTGTAGATGGATGGGGTAGCACTGAGGACCCCCTGGATCTCTCCCTCAGACCTCTAGCCCACATTGTATTTGGGAATGTTGAGTCAACTGGATCATCCTGAGGCCACCCCTAGGGAGACCCCAGTTCTGAACTCCTTTTCTCTTACCCCTAGTCCCACCGGAAGTTCTCTGCCCCTCGACACGGACACCTGGGTTTCCTGCCCCACAAGAGGAGCCGGAGGCATAGGGGCAAGGTGAAGAGCTGGCCTCGGGATGACCCCAGCCAGCCTGTACACCTCACAGCTTTCCTGGGCTACAAGGCTGGCATGACCCACACCCTTCGAGAAGTGCACCGCCCTGGACTCAGTGAGTCGCTGAGGGGGACGCAAGGCAGAGTGGGGGATGGAATCTTGCAAATGATAGGAGCCAGAAACTGTTCTTGTGGTCCAAGTAGAGCCACAATCCCAGAAAAGATGATGTCCTGTGCGTGGGGATTGCTCTTAGGACAGGCAGGATCCATGCTGAACTTTGTCAAGCCCTGAGCATGAGCAATGCCTGGAGAGAGGGGTTTCTGACAGTTGAGGCATGGAGAGGCTAGGAAAGTGGTCCCAGGTAGTTAGTAAGCGGAGCTACTGGGATTCAAAGTGGGCACCCTCGTGGGGCTCAGGACTGTAATTCTAGCTACTTGGGATATTGAGGCAGGAGGATCACAAGTTCAAGGCCAGCCTAAGTAACTTAGCCTCTGTCTCAAAATAAAGGTTAAAAAAAGATTTGGGGATGTGGCTCAGTAGTAGACTGTTTACCTTGTATGCCCAGAGTCCTAGGTTCAATTCCCAGTATTGCTAAAAATAATATAACAGAAATTTAAAAATTGGGTTACCCCATCTTTCTTTTTTTTTTTTTTTTTTTTTTTCGAGACAGGGTTTCTCTGTGTAGCTTTGCACCTCTCCTGGAACTCACTTGGTAGCCCAGGCTGGCCTCGAACTCACAGAGATCCGCCTGGCTCTGCCTCCCGAGTGCTGGGATTAAAGGCGTGCGCCACCACCGCCCGGCTACCCCATCTTTCTTAAAGCCTCCTGTGTAGTGTCTATCTATAGGACTTTAGAACATACATTTTAGGAGAGCTAGGTTACAGATGTAGATTGCTGTGTGAGAGACATTCTATCCTGCAGGAAAACCCCTTAAGCAGGAAGGTAAACAACTCCAAATAGTTCAAGAAAGTCCGAGAAATCGACCAGATTTACTAGGACCCTCCCTGCAGGAGTAAGCAATAAAAGTTGAGCATCCCCCTTCAGAGGGGCAGAGCTGACCTACAAAGAAAACTCTCAGACGTCTGGAAGAAGCAGGAAGCTGTGGAGCTGCCTGGAAGAGGTTAAGATGAGAACGAGGTTTAGACTAGAGTCAAGGCCAGGAGGTGGTGGCGGACGCCTTTAATCCCAGCACTCGGGAGGTAGAGGCAGGCGGATCTCTGTGAGTTCGAGGCCAGCCTGGTCTCCAAAGCGAGTTCCAGGAAAGGCACAAAGCTACACAGAGAAACCCTGTCTCGAAAAACAAAACAAAACAAAAAAACAGACTAGAGCCAATTGGGAAGGACACTCCAATATGCCGAGCTGCCCGTGGGCTGTGTGGTGTGCTCCAGGTTCCCAGCTTTGGTGACCTGTCACCCATGCTGGAGTGGGTTTTGGTGATGCATATGTCTCTGAGTCATTTCTGCTCCTGTAAGTGACCCCCTCACCCATATTCCTGTAAGTAACCTCAGTACAATTCATTGGTTACCAAGTTGGACTTTGGTGGTATCTGTACTTTGATCTGTTGTGGAGTAGATGTGAGCATAGTATCCCCAGAAAAAGTTTTGTCACACAAGATATAGTTCAATACTTTATACTGTTTACCTTGGTTTGCTGTTAGAAGACTCAGTTTTAATTATGCATGTGTGTATGTTTGTATGGGGGTATGTGCACATGTGTGCAAGTTCGCAGAGACCAGAAGAGGGTGTTAGATATCCTGGAGCTAGAATTAAAGGTGCTTGTGCTATCTAATTTTATGTCACATTGACACAAGCTAGTGTCATTTGGGAAGAGAAAACCTTAATTGAAAAAAGACTCCACAAGAATAGCCTGTGGTGCATTTTTTTAAAAATTAATGATTGATATGGGAGGGCCAAGCTCACTGTGAGCAGTGTCATCCCTAGGCTGGTGGTCCTGGGTGCTATAAAAGAACAGGCGGAGAAGCAAGCCAGTAAGCAGCGCTCCTCCATGGCCTCCGTTTCTGTTCTCGCCTCTAGATTCTTGTCCTGCTTGAGTTCCTGCTCTGACTTCGCTCAGAGATGGAATATGACCCAAGAGTTGGAAGCAGAAATAAACCCTTTCTTTCCCAAGTTACTTTGGTCATGAGGTTTTAGTACAGCAACAGCCACAGGAAACAGTAAGCCAGCCAACGTGTGTGCTAGGAACCAGACTTGGGTCTTCGGAAAGAGCATAATGTGGTTTTTTTGTTTTTTGTTTTCTGAGACAGGGTTTCACTGTGCGTAGCCCTGGCTGTCCTGGAACTCACTCTGTAGACCGGGCTGGCCTCGAACTTGCAGAGATCTGCCTACCACTGCCTCCTGAGTGCTGGGATTACAGGCACTACCACCAGCTGGGCCAGTCTTTGTTTTTGATGTAGGGTCTTGTTATAGCACAGGCTTGACACGGTCCCTCTGCTCGTCTCCTGAGTGCTAGGATTATAGGCATTCGTACTGTGTACGTTCAACTTCCCTAAGTTCTGTTGCATGCACTTATGTGTCACTTGTGAAAATTTGTATACCTGCTGCCTGTTGTATGACTGACGTTTCCTGGGGAGATGCAACACACACACACACACACACACACACACACACACACACACACACACACACACACACTCACTCCAGATAGGGAGCTCATGGCAGATCAAACTCCAGCTTGATGAATCAATATGTTTTACTGGGGTTACTTAAGGAATATGAGTGAGGGGTCACTCACAAGAGCTGAAATGACTCAAAGACAGATGCATTATCAAGGCCACCCCAGCATGGGTGACAGGTCACAAAGCTGGGAACCTGGAGTGCACAGCACAGCCTGCAGGCAGCTCACTAGATCAGAAAGTGGCCTTTCCAGGTGGCTCAGTCCATTTGAGCCCCTTCGGGCAGCTCAGCTGCTCCGTTTCTCCTAGGCTTTTGGGCTGGTCTGGGCTGTTTCCAGACGGCCGGACTTGTCTGAGAGTTTGCTTTGCAGTGTGGCTTGTCTCTGTGTGATGCTCAGCAGGCTTCCATGTTTGTATACTCTTGCAGAGTGAGGGTGCTAGTGAATCTGGTCAGTATCAGGGACTTCATGAAGTTATTTGGAGTTGTTTATTTGCTGTTTGACGACGTTACTTGCAGTATCTCACCTTCCCTTAGAATGTTCTGGTGTTTGACCTCCCTGTAAACACCCCCTCTCTTTGTTGAAAATAGATTCTTGGGGCTGGAGAGATGGCTCAGCAGTTGGGAGCACTGGCTGCTCTTCTAAAGACCTAGGTTCAACTCCCAGCACCCACGTGGCAGCTCACAACTGTCTGTAACTCTAGTCCCAGATGATCTGGCATCCTCACACAGACATACATGCAGGCAAAACACCAATGCACATAAAAATAAATCTTAAAAAAAAGTTTTTTTTTTCCTTCTTCAGTTTTTCAAGACAGTTTTCTCTGTAGCCTTGGCTGTCCTGGAACTCGATCTGGCCCTGGAACTCATAGAGATTCGCCTGCCTCAAGTGCTGGGATTTAAAGGCCTGTGCCACCACTGTCCAGCTCAGCTCCTTTTTTTTTTTTTTTTTTTCTTTTTAGATCAGTAGTATTTGATTTTACCTAGGTCTCCGGACTGTCTAGTCTCTGGTTCTTGGTCACCCTCGCAGTGTCAGGAATGGGTTCCATCTAGTGGAGTGGCCCTTAAGTCAGTCAGACATTGCTTGGTCATCCCACAGGCTTTGTGCCACCATTGCCCTGGCGTATTTTGCAGGTAGGACAGCATTGTACATCTAAGGTTTTACGGCTGGGTTGGTGGTAAATATCTTGTCTTAAGAAGTTGACCTCGCCGGGCGGTGGTGGCGCACGCCTTTAATCCCAGCACTCGGGAGGCAGAGCCAGGCGGATCTCTGTGAGTTCGAGGCCAGCCTGGGCTACCAAGTGAGTCCCAGGAAAGGCGCAAAGCTACACAGAGAAACCCTGTCTCGAAAAACCAAAAAAAAAAAAAAAAAAAAAAAAAGAAGTTGACCTCTAAGCTGGGCATGGTGGCACATGCCTTTAATCCTAGCACTCGGGAGGCAGAGGCAGGAGGATCTCTGTGAGTTTGAGGCCAGCCTGGCCTGCAAAGCAAGAAAAAAAAAAGTTTCCTTCTACCTGGGTTTTTGTTTTGTTTTTGAAACATGTTTCTTTGTGTAGCCCTGGTTGTCCTTGAACTCATTCTGTAGACCAGGCTGGCCTTGAAATCAGAGATCAAACTGCCTCCGAGTGCTGGGATTAAAGGCATTCAACACCTACCCAGCTCTCAAAAGGGTTTTTTGTTTTGTTTGAGACAGGGTTTCTCTGTGTAACAGCTCTGGCTGCCTGGAACTCACTTTGTAGACCAGACTGGCCTTGAACTCATAGAGATCCTCCTGTCTCTGTTCTCCTGAGTGCTGGGATTAAAGGCATGCGACACCACCTCCTGGCTCCAAAATGGAAGGTTTTAACCTAGGACAGTGGTCCTAAGCTTGTGGGCCTTGACCCCTCTGGCGGTCAAACGACCCTTTCACAGGGGTTGCATATCAGATATCCTGCATATCAGATATCTACAGTTCATAACAGTAGTAAAATTACAGTTATGAAGTAGCAACAAAAATAATTTTATGGTCTGGGCCACCATAACCTGAGGAACTGTATTAAAGGGTCGAAGCATTAGGAAGGCTGAGAGCCACTGATCTAGGAGGAAACTAGTACACCACACTACCTAGTCCAGATGCCCAGCACCCCTACCCTGCTGTGCCCTAGGCTGTCCTGAGATAGCCACATCCCCTCTGGCCCTCTCCAGCCCGTAGCAATGCTCAGTTCTCTACCCTCCTGGTACAGAGAAGCCTCCCTCCCTCCCTCCTTCTTGTGCTGAGGTGTGCAGGGCCACCTTCGCGGCTTCCGCTCTCTCCCCTGTGCCTGGTGTTTCCTCTCCTGCTGTCTCAGCTCTCCTGCCCTCCCTGTCCCTCTCTCCTTCCTTCCTGCCATCTCGTTCTCCCTCCTTTCTTTCCTTTCTTCCTTCCTCTTTCCCTTCCTTCTCTCTCCTTCCCTGTCTCTCTTTCTTTCCTTGCTTCTTTCTCCTTTCTTCCTTCCTCTCTCCTTTCTTCCAGTTTCCTTCCTTTCATTTTGAGAACATATATTTCAGTTGAGCCGATGCCTATCATCCCAACACTTGGGAGGTCGGGGAAGGAGGATCACAAATTCAAGGCTGTCCTCAACTACATCGCAAGTTCAAAGCCAGCCTGGGCTACAGGAGATTCTCCCTCAAAATAAACCTAAATAAAACCAAACCCCATGATGAAACCCGTGGCAGCCTAAGACTATCCATGAAATGATGGGTTTCTAGGTTTCCCTAGTGCTTATGACACTGTATTAGAATTATTAAAAGTAAAATAAGATTATGGTGGTCTCACTGCAGTCAGCTGGGCAGCAGCTCCGTCTCTTGGGCTGCCTGAGTAGTTGGCCCTCTTGCTCCCTTCCCCATTGGCTGAGAAGGTCCCCTCAACTCTCGTTCCTTGGTCTAAACAGAAATTTCCAAGCGAGAGGAGGTAGAAGCTGTGACAGTTGTGGAGACACCGCCGTTGGTGGTGGTGGGCGTGGTGGGCTACGTGGCCACTCCCCGAGGTCTGCGGAGCTTCAAGACCATCTTCGCTGAACATCTCAGTGATGAGTGCCGCCGCCGCTTCTACAAGGATTGGTGAGAGCCTAGCTTCAGCTGGGCTAGAGCAGTGAAGGGAGGGGGGCCTAGCCCAGGCAGAGAGTTTGTGTGGTGCCTTCAACTCAGCAAGACAGGAAGGATTAGAGAGCTGGAGAGGACCCTGGGATCCAGAAACGGGAGGAAGCGAATATTCAGATCTTCAGGGCTGGGCTGGCGGGGTGACTCAGGTGTTTGTTGCCAAGCCTGCCAACCTGTGTAGATCTCTGGGATAGGGCGGGAGGAGAGAACCGACTCTCGAGTTGTCCTCTGACCACCCCACATGCGCACTATGGTGTTTGTACACATATACACACTATATATAAAAGTAAGTGTAAAAAATTTAAAATCGGGCTGGAGAGATGGCTCAGAGGTTAAGAGCACTGGCTGTTCTTCCAGAGGTCCTGAGTTCAATTCCCAGCAACCACATGGTGGCTCACAACCATCCATAATGGTGCCCTCTTCTGACTTGCAGGCATACATGCAGGCAGAACACTGTATATATGATAAATAAATAAATCTTTAAAAAAAAGCATCCAAAAATTTAAAATCATCAGGGTTATTATATTCATGGGGCTAATTTGATGAAATTTCAGAACTGACCTGAGTGAACTAGAAGCCAAAGTAAAAAGAAAAACAGCCAACTAAGAAGTTCTTACAATGCTGGGCAAGGTGGTGCACGCTTTTAATCCCAGCACTCAGGAGGCAGAGGCAGGCAGATCTCTGTGAGTTCGAGGCCAGCCTGGTCTACAGAGCAAGTTCCAGGACAGCCAGGGCTACACAACAACAACAACAACAACAACAACAACACACACACACACACACACACACACACACACACACACACACACACACACACACTGGCCTTTTTAGGCCTCTGACCTGTGGAACTAAGTCTTGAAAGGGAAGGCCCACCCCCCTGCCTGGGGAACTTCATTCCTTCACTATCTTGTGGAGACATGGGCCCAGCCCTCACCTTCTGTGGGAATTAATGAATAGGAGCCCCAGCATCGGTGAAGGACTGTATGACCAAGGGCGAGTTGGCTGACATCTTGAGTCCCTTGCATGCCATGGGTAGGTGAAGGGTGTAGAGCGCCGCCACTGCTCCCCCCCCCCCCCCCCCCCCCCCCCCCCCCCCCCCGGCTCCCTGAAGTGACTGGTGAGCATCAAGGATGCTGTTTTTACTGTTTGTATTATAATTTTCTCTTCATCCAGAGTTTGGCCCCTGGGAACTGTGGCTTCTTCATCTCTAGGATAGGGCTCATCATTCTTTTTACCTTCTAGAGCTCCAGTGAGGGTTGGGAAGGGTGTCTGCCTAACTGGAGGCACAGCATTTGCTGACGGTGTCTGAAGGAGGCATTAGAGGTTTTAAAATAGAGATTATTGCTGGGCACATGCCTGTAAAATCCCAATACTTTACAAGGATCAGGAGTATTAGTCCAGCCTGGGTGACATAGTGGGACCCTCTTTTTTTTATTTTTTCCCGGAGCTGAGGACCGAACCCAGGGCCTTGCACTTGCTAGGCAACTGCTCTACCGCTGAGCTAAATCCCCAACCGGGACCCTCTTAAGACACACACACCCACACACATAGAAAGAGGAGAAGCGGGGAGGGAGGCAGGAAGGGAGAGAAAATGATTGGGAATATCCCAGGCTCTTAGGGAGGTCCTAGGCCAGGGCTCTTGCTTGGTGGACTCCAGGTAGGGTGAGGCAGGCAGGGCAATGCAGGGAGCTCCCCAGCTGGAGCTTGAGCCCTCTGTGTGTGGCTCAGGCACAGGAGTAAGAAGAAAGCCTTTACCAAAGCCTGCAAGAGGTGGCGAGACTCCAGCGGCAAGAAGCAGCTCCAGAAAGACTTTGCCGCCATGAAGAAGTACTGCAAGGTCATTCGGGTCATTGTCCACACCCAGGTCAGTCCAGCCCCCATCTTCAGCCCATCCAGTCTTCGGGTGCCTTCTCCCATCCCCCACCTCCAAATGAAGTGCCCTGACAAATGTCAGCTCAAAAATAGCAGCAGCCCTGGGAACAGGCTCAAGATCTGGCCGGCTACCTCCCTAGCCACTCTTGTCCCAGAGTGGAGAGGTCACTGGCACGAGATGTTTTATGTCAGTGTCATCAACAGCTAGAGTGTCCCATAGACAACTCAGGTACCCAAATGTCCTGAAAGGCTCGAGTCTTCAGTCAAAAGTCCAGCATGGAGAATTGGCTGTACCTGGGGTCCAGCTTGATGTTGACTGAAATTTAACCAGAACAGTCATTCTGGAATTTTCCTATGCATCTTGTCTTCAGCGAAGTATTCCCCAGCAGCAACCCTGTCCCCACTCCTCCTGCTCTCTGAACACAGGCTCCTGTTACTCTCATGCCTGCAGCTCACGCGTAAGCGAGTCGGGCTTGATCTATACCAGTATGACCTCCAGGGACCATGGAGGCAGGGGTCACACTCATCCAACTCCCCTGTGAGCCCAGTGCTTAACACAAGCCTGGTATACAGTAGGAGCTCTGTAAACACTTTCCGAACACTATGTTGTGATCTAGCTGGTGTCTTTCCACTTGTATGTCCTCTTAGCCTGTGATGCTGATAGCAGCCAGAGCGTTGTTGAATGGTCTAGTTAGCAACTTAGAGTTGGGAGAATGTTGGAGCCCTGTCCTCCATCTGACTGGCTCTGGCACCCTCCAGCTCTCATCCGTCCAGATTGTCCCATCAACCTTCCAAAATCTTTCCTGACACAGGGCCTTTTCACATGCTGCTTCTTCCTCACAAACTCACTCAGATCTTTGCCTAGCGACTTTTTGCTGTTAATGGTCACTTCCTCAGAGAGGCCCTCCCTGACCATTCTACCTGAGGTGCTGCCCATCATTTATTGGAACACCGAGCCCTCTCCAAGAGTTTACTTGGCTTTTATCTGTCCTCAAAGGAGATGCTGGGACTCCCTGAGATATGGGATGCTGTCTGCCTCAATCTGTGCTGTACCTACAGCAGCTAGCATGTGGCAGCCACACAATAATGTCTGTGAATAAATACAAGTGGGGAAGACTTCAGGTTGCCAGTGGGCTAGCCTTCTGCAGGTGTGTGGGGCTTGTGAACTGACCTCCCTGCTGTGTCTTGCAGATGAAGCTGCTGCCCTTTCGGCAGAAGAAGGCCCACATCATGGAGATTCAGTTGAACGGTGGTACTGTGGCTGAGAAGGTGGCCTGGGCTCAGGCACGGCTGGAGAAGCAGGTGCCTGTACACAGTGTGTTCAGCCAGAGCGAGGTCATTGATGTCATTGCTGTCACCAAAGGCCGAGGTGTTAAAGGTAGGGCCTGGTACAGACGGTAGCTCCAGGGAAGACTGTTTGGTGGGGGCTAGAGTGGCCTCTTAGCCTCCGGCCCTTCCTATCTACAGGGGTCACTAGCCGCTGGCATACCAAGAAGCTGCCAAGGAAGACCCACAAAGGCCTGCGCAAGGTGGCCTGCATTGGTGCCTGGCACCCTGCCCGAGTAGGCTGCTCCATCGCCCGGGCTGGGCAGAAGGGTTACCACCACCGTACAGAGCTGAACAAGAAGGTGTGTCCATAGCTCCGAGGGGTCTCTAGTGGGATGGCATGACTCAAACACTGACTGGGTTCATGAAATATCATTACTAGTTCCAGAGTCTGAGCATCTGTGCTGGGGGTGGGGTGTGCGGCCATGTTTCTAGCCCAAAACCCACCTCTGGCCCCTACTGATGTTTTCCTGGTAGATCTACCGAATTGGCCGGGGGCTGCACATGGAAGATGGGAAGATGGTCAAAAACAATGCGTCCACCAGCTATGATATAACTGACAAGTCTATCACACCATTGGTGAGGCTACAAATGGGGTCTAATGGGGGCTGGGGGACAGGCCCTACCTAGGTGCTGTTCTGCTGCAAGAGTTCCATTATCTATGCTCCACACTAGATATTGGCCCCTCCCCCCCACTAGATTCAGGGTCTTGGCCGGAGGTCAGTGATGGGAGGCCTGATATGTCTGTGAGCAACCACTTGGAAGCCCCGATCCTTGTTTGTTCCTGCACCCTTCAGGCCTGCAGAGAGGAGAAATGCATACAGCAGTAGCCCAGGCTGGCCTCCGACTCCCTATATAGCTGAGGATGACCTTAAAATTCGGATCCTCCTGTTTTTACCATCTGAATGCTGAGAGCATATGGGTATGCCACACACCCTATTTTTTGCTCTGTGTAGCCCTGTCTGTCCTGGAACTTGCTCTGTAGACCAGGGTGGCCTTGAACTCTGAGATCCTCCTGCCTCCTCCCAAGTGCTGGGATTAAAGGCATGTTCCACTATGACCGACTAACACCCTATTTTTTTAATGTGGTGCTCAGGATTGAACATAGGGCCTCATGCATGCTAGACTAGCATTCTTCCAACTGAGCCAGGGACTCATTGTTACCCAGGTTAGCCTTCAACTCTTAAGTGATCCTGCTGGATCGCTGCCTCAAGTGTTGGATTTACAGGTTTATACCACCATGCTCAGCATCCCCAAACTTCTGAGCCCCAGTGTCCCCCACAAAAAGGCATATTGTTAAGTGAGATAAGACAGGAAGAATACTTAGTATGTGGCTCAGATGCTGCTGCCCTGGAGTGAGCCAGTGTGAGGTACTGTCCCTGCACCCTGGGGTCTGGGCATGGGGCTCCTTCATATCACGGCCCCCTAATTGTCTGCCCTGCCCTTGGTTTGCTCTGTCTCCCTGTAGGGTGGCTTCCCCCACTATGGGGAAGTGAACAATGACTTCATCATGTTAAAAGGCTGCATTGCAGGTACCAAGAAGCGAGTGATCACACTGAGGAAGGTGAGTGCCGCAAGGCCAGCTGGTTAGTGAGTGGGCTTCAGTTGCCTGTTCAGTCCTTTGGCCTGTTCAGTGGTGGGCTGGGTTGGTGGGAGAGTAAAGGAAAGGGTCTGGCAGGAGCGAGTGAGCGATTGAGTCCTTCTCGGTGTGGACTGGAGCTCACAGGAGTTGGGGCTCTCCATCCTTGACATCGCTTCTCTCTTGGATTCCCAGTCTCTCCTAGTGCACCACAGCCGCCGGGCTCTGGAGAATATCGAGCTCAAGTTCATTGACACCACTTCCAAGTTTGGCCACGGACGCTTCCAAACAGCGCAGGAGAAGAGGGCCTTCATGGTGAGCTAAGTCCCACCTGTTCTCTGGGTCTCAAAACTCCGTTTCTTGACTCACTCTCCTGACTAACGCTCCTCCTGTCCCCCTACCTTAACCAGGGTCCCCAAAAGAAGCATCTGGAGAAAGAGAAGCCGGAGACCTCGGGAAACATATAAGATGCCTGGAATGGAGCACACTTGGGAGTGCTTCTGCTGCCTGTCCTGTCCTTTTTGTCTAATAAAGTCCTGAGGCAACTCTTTAAGCCTGGTTCAGAGGTTGCGGGGGTGGGGGTGGGGGTGGGGGGAGAGGGCGGGGCGGGGCGGGGCGCCAAAGGCGGCCGACATCTCAGGGCGCAAGGTTTACTGCCGGATTAGGGCGGACTAGGGATGCAGCTGGGTGGATGTGCCTCCACTCCAGTTCCGGGCCATTACTCCTGGGGTCCTGTGGTCTAGCAGCTCTACTGAAACTGAGTCCGTGCTCCTGCTGCAGGAGACGTGCTCCGCGGAAGAGGCTCTCCGGGCGGGGCCTCCTGGAGGCGGAAGTGGGAACCTGGTTCCCGGGAGGGATTGGTTGGATGGGTGGGGTTTAGGGCCTACCGGAGGAGAGACTCGTCGAGGGCGGGGCTTCTAGAAGGCGAGTAGTGGAAAATCCTGGAGAGACTGGTCTTCTCTAGGGGCGTGGCTTAGAGCAAACCGCTATGTGATTGGTCACTGGGGAGGGGGCGGGCTGGAGTCTAGACTGAGGGCTTTAGGAGTCCCGGCCGGGTACATTGGCCTGTCCCATTGCGGCCATGTCGTTCTGCAGCTTCTTCGGAGGCGAGGTTTTCCAGAATCACTTCGAGCCAGGTACAGCCTGTGGCATTAAAGCAGGCATCGCCTTCTGGATGGCGGTGGAGTCCCTGAGCCAGGATGGGGCGATCGTGGCTGCTGAGGACTCGGAGGAGGGGCTGGCGAGGGCACTGGGGAGCAGGAGGACTTGAGAGGAGAGGGGGCATTCCGGTAATCTCTGTTCTCGAGGATGACAGGCCTTGAACTTCAGTGTAGATCTCTCTGGGGATCCTCTGGGCCGAGTGCTTTGGGGTGCTACCTACCCGTGTGGTTTCAGAGTGGTCGAACTTTGGAGCAGAACGATGGGGATATGTGATCCAAGGTCCGCATTGGAGTTTGCCCTGTGTTCCTTCCCGGACTCACATGGATGAGTGGACAAGCTCTGAACTTTCCGTTCAGTCCCGAATCTGCCGGCCTCGGTGTCTCCCTGTCCTCTGAGTTAGGTGTCAGTGGGTCCTTACCAGCGTCAATGAAGTGTAACCAGTACAGCCTGGGCTACTGCACACAGGCTGTTAGAGACTCAGTGAGTCCCCTGCTTACTGGGTTCTGCTGATATTGGACTAATTTGGTAAAACAATGGCATTGGCGTTCCTGGGGCGGGATCTGTTAGATGTCAGTCCTCTGGAGGGCTGAGCTGTGACACTGGGCATCTGTATAAGCCAGGTCACTGTGCAGAGGCCTCTCTTGAATCCCTCTTGAATCCCTGCAGCACCCCAGTTGCCTTTGGGCTGCCCTGGCAAGCTGAACACTTCACTATGTTTTGCTTCCTCTCCAGTTCCTGATACAGACTGAACAGGAACTCAAGTGGGTGGTGGGTAATGTGATTCAGTACCTGGCAAGTTCCGATTTTTTAGTCTTTCAAACAGTTAGGCAATTCAGTTTTGCAACCTTATCTACTCTTTCCACTATTGTGGTCTCTTGGGGACAGGTTGAAACCTTTCTTCCCAGCAGTTGTTTTTCTGGGGTTCCCTATTTGGCTTGGAAGACTGTTCCCTAGGGCCAGTCTACTCCTGCTCAGAGAGCAGGCCCATGGCTCGGTATCCAATTTAAAACTTTGTTGAGCCAGGCGGTGATGGCGCACGCCTTTAATCCCAGCACCCAGCACTCAGGGAGGCAGAGTCAGGCGGATCTCTGTGAGTTTGAGGCCAGCCTGGTTTCCAAAGCGAGTTCCAGGAAAGGCGCAAAGCTACACAGAAAAACCCTGTCTCGAAAAACCAAAAAACAAACAAACAAACAAACAAAACAAAAAAAACCCCAACAACAAAAAACAAAACCAAAAAACTTTGTTGAGTAGCAGAGATGTCTACTTGAGGAGAGAGGGGACCAAATGGTTACACTGGCAGTGTTAGGGACCCTGTCCAGGGGTAGAGGAAGGCTATAGTCAGATATTTAGCATTCTCTCTTGGCCACATACCTTATTGTGTGTCTGCATTGCCAACCTTCCATCTTCTTGCCCATAAATGGGAATATCAGCCAAGTATGGTTCACACCTGTAATCCCAGGGTATAGAAGGCTCAAGGCAGAAGCATTGCCTTAAATTTGAGGCCAGCCTGGATTACATAGTTGCAGGCTAGCCTGGGCTACAGTGTGAGACTTGTTCTAGATTGCTTCTCTGTTGTGATAAAACACTGACCAAAACCTGTCTAGGGGAGGAAGAGTTTATTTCAGTTTACAAGTTAAGGTCCATTACTGAGGGAAGCCAAGGTAGGAACCTGGAGGTGGAAACTAGGTAGAGACCACAAAGAAATGCTGTTTACTGGTTTGGTACCCTAGCTTGCTCAGCTATCTTCCTTCCTTCCTTCCTTCCTTCCTTCCTTCCTTCCTTCCTTCCTTCCTTCCTTCCTCCCTTCCTTCCTTCCTTCCTTCCTCCCTTCCTTCCTTCCTTCCTTTTTTTTTTTTTCCTGAGACAGGCTTTCTCTGTAATTGCCCTGGCTGTCCTGGAACGCGCTCTGTAGACCAGGCTGTCCTGGAACTTACAGAGATCCACCTGCTTCTGCCTCCTGAGTGCTGGGATTAAAGGCGTGTGCTGCTGCCGCCGCCGCCACCCCGCCGCCGCCGCCGCCGCCGCCGCCGCCGCCGCCGCCGCCACCCAGCTCAGCTACCTTTCTAATACAGCCTAGACCCATTTGCTTAGGGATGGCACTGCCCACAGTGAGCTAGGCCCTCCCACATCAATCATTAATTAAGAAAATGTCCCCAGGCTGGAGAGATGGCTCAGAGGTTAAGAGCACTGGCTGTTCTTCCAGAGGTTCTGAGTTCAACTCCCAGCAACCATATGGTTGCTCACAACCATCTGTAACAAGATCTGGTGCCCTCTTCTGGCCTTCAGTCAAACATGCAGGCAGAACACTGCATAATAAATAAAATCTTAAAAAAAAAAAAAAAAAAGAAAAAAAGAAAATGTCCCCATAGACATGTCCACAGACCAGTTTGATCCAGGTTAAGTCCTCAGCTGGAGTCCCTCTTCCTGGGTGACTCTAGTTTGTTTCAAGTTGACTGAAACTAACAGGCACAAGATGTTGTCTCAAAACAAACGAAACAAAAGCCCCAAGGGGGCTGGAAATGGCTCAGTGTTAAGAACATGCTTTCCCAGAGGACCTGGGTTTCATTCTCATCACCCACATGATAGTTTATTCCAGTCTCAGGGAATCTGGCCCTTTCTTCTGGTCTCTTCTGGTTTCTGTGGGCACTGCATACATGTGGTACACAGATACACATGCAGGCAAAACACTCATACACATAAAATAAAAACAAGTCTTTTAAAACATCCAAAACTAAATAATTGAATGAAAGTGTTCAAGGTTTCCCATCACAGGGCCACTGAGAGTAGGACCTGAGCCCCAGAGTGACTCCTGGTCTCTTGTAACTCAGCCAGGCTTTGCTAGGCCTCCCAGAGCCAATCAATGGGCTATGAGCAGGGGATGTATGGGGATGGTGTGGGGTCTCCTGCCACAATGAGAGCAGCGCTAGTGACGTCATTTCCTGGGTCCCAGGTCAAGGAAACTTGCACCAGACAGACGCAGCTGGTGAATGTCTCTGCTGTGTTCTTCCTCTGCTACAGGTGTCTATGTGTGTGCCAAGTGTGGCTATGAGTTATTCTCCAGTCGCTCAAAGTACGCACACTCTTCCCCATGGCCAGCATTCACTGAAACCATCCATGCAGACAGTGTGACCAAGCGCCCTGAGAAAAACCGACCTGAAGCTTTAAAGGTGGGTGTGATAGCCCCGCTGAGTGCTGGCCAGGAAGGGTCTTGGACTGGTTACACTTGTCTTCCTTTGCTCCCTCGTGTGGTTATTCGAGGTCTCCATCTTCAGCTGGGGTACTGGCACCCCAAGATTTGTTGTTGTTGTTGAAGACACTGCTTTCTCTGTGTAGCCCTGGCTGGCCTGGAACTCTGTAGAGTAGGCTGGCCTCAAACTCAGAGATCCACCTGCCTCTGCCTTCTGAGTGCTTGTATTTTGAGGGAACGTGAGCGTTAGGATAGCTTCCTTTCGCAGGGCCCACCCCTCAGAGCTAGAGTTAGCTTGGGAAGCAGGCAGATGGTGGAAGCGTCCCCTATCTGCAGCACACAGGGTGACTAACTGTGTTTGGGTTTCTCCAGGTGTCCTGTGGCAAGTGTGGCAACGGGTTGGGCCACGAGTTCCTGAATGATGGCCCCAAGCGGGGACAATCCCGATTCTGAATATTTAGCAGCTCATTGAAGTTCATCCCTAAAGGTGAGCACCGCTAGGGGCTGGGGACATCCCGTTGTAACTGAGGGAAGTGCAGCAGGGAGGCATGCTGTGTATGCGTGTCTACCGGCTGTGGCAAAATGCACTTACCAATGACACCTCGAAAGCTGGCCGAGGTACAGGACTGGGGGCAAATGTCCAGGGCGTCTCATATGGGAACATCTCAGGGAGTTTGTGGTATGTGGTTTTCTCTGTAGGCCTGGCCTTTCCATGTGCCTGGAATCTTCAGTTGGATGTAGGGGTGGGTGACAGCTGAGGACCTAGGCCGTGTGACCAAAGGCTTGCTTCTGAACCTGAGTGCCTGTCATTCCTCTGCAGAGGGCCATGGTAACATATTTTCTATCACAAGGCTGCTGAGGACAACTGAATGCCATATGGTACCTCTGGGGCCTAGCGCATAGTAACAATTCAATAAAACTGCTACTTTAATCAACTTTTTTTTTTTTTTTTTTTTTTTTTTTTTTTCTGGAGCTGAGGACCGAACCCAGGGCCTTGGGCTTGCTAGGCAAGCGCTCTACCACTGAGCTAAATCCCCAACCCCTCAACCTTTTTAGTAGTGGCCAGACCCTTTATCCAGTTTCTTGATCTGTAAAACGGAGCTGTCAAATAACGGCGGCCATTGCTGTACTGTGGGGTTAGTGAGCAGTCAGGAAGGGCCGGGGACACACTGAGCTAGGGTGATATTTGTGTCCTGTT